GGAAGGAAGGAAGGAAGGAAGGAAGGAAGGAAGGAAGGAAGGAAGGAAGGAAAAGAGAGGAAGGAAAAAAGAGGAAGAGAAAAAGAACAAAAGGGCGGGAGGGAGGGAGGAAGGGAGGGAGGGAGGGGAAACTCACCTGCCCAATGACTTTGAGTTTAATGTATTCTCCCTCCTTCTTATCCCCCAAGTCCTCAGTTGAAGGTTTTGCCTCCTGAAAGAAATTTCAAGATAAGCAAAAGTCCTAAGTCAATTACTTTCCCAAATCCAGGCTCACTAGAAATCAAGAAAAGTTTTTATCATCACATTCAAAAATAATGGTCTAAAATGTTACAAAGAGGGACTGGGAAGGTGGCTCAGTGGTAGAGTGTTTGCCTTGCATGCATGAGGCCCTGGGTTCGATTCCTCAGCACCACATAAGCAAAAAGAAAAAAGCCAGAAGTGGCTCAAGTGGTAGAGTGCTAGCCTTGAGCTGAAGAGCTGAGGGACAGCGCCCAGGCCCAGAGTTCAGGCCCCACGACCAGACCCGCAAAAAAAATTGTTACAATGAATCAATGTCATCAAAAGAATCTGTTAAAAAACAAACAGTTGACCAGGAGTTGATAGCTCAGCCTTGTAATCCTAGCTACTCAGGAGGCAGAGCTGAAACCAGGAAAACATTTTTAGTAAAAGAATAACCTGGTAAATTTATCACATGTGATGAAACGTATAACACATGCGATATAATAGTTTAGATATCAAATTTAATATTTAATAACCACTTATACTAATTTCAAAAAATCCATTCCCACAAAGAACCAAACTATATTTTACAAGAAAGTAGAACCACTACTTTATAGTAACTTAAAACTTTCAGAAATTAACAGAACACATTAACCAAACATAGCTTTTTACCTGAAGGATATAATCTAGAATCCAAGAAAATGCTTAATAGAACTGATTTTGTTAGTATGAATCCTTGCCTATTTTTAATTAATTTTAACATTTCCTCAGTATTAATGACAGCAGGCAAAATTAACCTCCTTTACTAAGACTTTTCTTTTAGCCACTGTCCCTGAGCTCTTTTGCTCAAGGCTAGCACTCTACTACTTTGAGCCACAGTACCACTTTTTTTTTTTTGGCGGGGGGGGGGGGGGGTTGTTAATTGGAGATAAGGGTGCCATAGAGTTTTCAGCCTGGATTGGCTTTGAACCATGATCCTCAGATCTCAGCTTCCTGTGTAGCTAGGACTGCAGGCTTGAGCAACTAGCATCTGGCTTTTTTGTCAGTCTTTGGGCTTGAACTCAATGTTGCCACCCACCATATGCTCCTTGACCAGCAGCGACTGGGAACAAAACAATAATGGACACCAGATGGTAGAACTGAGGTTTGGGATAGCAGGGGACCTGCAGCCTTCCACCAGCTTCAGATTCCAAGGTTTCAGTCACCAAGGGTTTTATTGCTGTTGTACAAGGGAAGTAAGGTATAAGCTTCGACCTGTGACAGTATTTGTATATAAGTAGTAGATGACCTTTTTCTGGGAAGGAGAGCTTACAATTTGCATAAACCTAAGTCTACCCCCAGTCTCCCACACAGTTTAGGATGGAATTAGCCCACTCTGGATAGAAATCCAAATTCCCATTAAGCCAGGACTGATTGGCCTCTCCAAGGACTCTCAGCAGTTCTGAGAGTATGTTGGGTGAAGGCATTCCACACTCCCAATCCTTAACCGGTCACCTTGGATTTTCAGGCTCTCACAACTCAAGGCCCGGGGCTGTCCCTGAGTTTTTTTGCTCAAAGCCAGCACTTTGGGCCACAGTGCCATTTCTGGTTTCCTAGTGGTTTACTGGAGGTGGTAATCTCGAGGACTTTCCTGCCACAGCTGGCTCTGAATTCTGTCCTCATATCTCAGCCTGGAGTAGCTAGGATTATAGATATGAGCAATTGGACTACCACTTTTTTTGAAGGGGTGGGTGGAAAGGCCCCACAAGCTGTAACCCTGGGCCTGGACACTGTCCTTGAGCTGCTTTTTGTTCAAAGCTGGCGCTCTACCACATGAGCCAGGGCACTACTTCTGGCTTTTTCTGTTTATGTGGTACTGAGGAATCAAACCCAGGGCTTCATGCATGCGAGGCAAGCACTCAACACTAAGCCACATTCCCAACTACCAATTTATTGTTGTAGGTTGTGGGGCTTGAACTCTGGGCCTTGGGATGTCTGTCCCTCATTTCTTCAGCTCAAGGTTAGTGCTCTATCACTTGAGCCACAGCGCTACTTGCAGTTTTCTAGTGGTTTACTGGAGTTATGAGTCTCCCTGACTTTGCTTTCCAGGCTGGCTTTGAACCACGATCCTCAGATCTCAGCCTCCTAGGTAGCTAGGAATACAGGCCTGAGTCACTGGCACATGGCTCACCACTTTTTTTTTTTTTTTTTTTGGTCAGTCATGGGCCTTGAACTCTGGGCCTGAGTGCTGTCCCTCAGCTCTTCAGCTCAAGGCTAGGGCTCTACTACTTGAGCTACAATGCACTTCTGGTTTTCTGGTGGTTTATTGGAGATAAAAGAGTTTCACGGACTTTCCTGCCCGGCCTGGCTTTGAACTGCGATCCTCAGATCTCAGCCTCCTGAGTAGCTACGATTACAGGCATGAACCACAGGCGCCCGGCTCACCACTAACTTTTAACACAAGGATTCTGTTTAACTGACCTCCTTCCCCTCTGGTGATACTGGAACATGAAATCAAGACCTTGTACTTGCCAGGGTGGCAAGCTCCCATTTGAATCAAGCCTCTGCCCTGAGTTTTGCTGATTATTTGGCAATAAAGTTTAGAGATGCTTGACTGAATTGGACTCTCAGCTTCTCCTGAAATTATCTCAAGGAAATCTATTTCATTCATCTACCAATTTGCATCAAAAGTTCCATCAACTGATAAGTTGAAGTACAGTATTTAAAAAAAAAAAAATCAGGGGCTGGGAAGGTGGCTCAGTGGTAGAGCACTCGCCTTGCATGAATAAGGCCCTGGGTTCGATTCCTCAGCACCACATAAG